TTTTTTTTTTTTTTAAATATGTTCGGCCAAACACATTCGGGTGGCGTTCAGCCGAACACCCGAACATATTCGGACGTTCGGAAAAGCTCCGAACATGTTCGGTGTGCTACACAGCCAGGCTCCCTGATTCCCTTGCATGGTCGAGTCAGGTCGACCCTACATAGCGGTCACCCCTTTAGTCGAGCATTACCCGTTGAGATGGTTTATCTGTTAGGGTCATTGGTTCTATTCGCTCCCAGTTCCCTACCCTCATTGAGCCTGATGACATGTGTCTCCTTGTCATTACGTGCGGATGCCCTTAGGAGTTTATCGACCCCTAGGCTGCATTAACCACCCTCAGAGACCATCCCACCCTGTGGCTTGCGACACACTCCTCTTGTGACATATGGTCGTCTTGTTGTTGCTTTGTTGCTCTCAGACTAAGGTTACTGCCTCTAACATTTCTAGGATTTAGTTGTTTCTGCTTTTGTTGTTCTTAGGACTTATACACTAGTCAGTTGTTTCCAGACTGAGGCTACTTCCTCCAACATTCTAGGATTTAGTTGTCATTACTTTTTGCTTTCCTATGACATGTATGCTAGTTAGTTGCTTCTGCTTTCACTTAGGCTGTTAGCTGTGACATTGCTGTTTTTTGGTGACATTTTTTATCCTAGTTTGCATCGCATGGACTCGGCATGGAGCTTGCTCCGCATCCTAGATCACTCGGTTTTTCTTTTTCTTTGGTAGAGTTCCGCTTCTTGGTGGAAGCGTGCTTGCATCTAGGCGATCCATCATAGGTCGAGGATCGTGTAGCGGACCTCTGGTTGGCCTGTGAGACCAGGCCCTTGGCATGTTCTCACAGGCCTGCATTGTATTCGGGGCAGTCCAGTCCAGGCCGGCACCTCTGTCGGTACCAGCCAGTACAGTCCAGTCCAGTCAGTCCGCTGGGGTATACCCCAACCAGAGTCTGTACTTTGGGCCATTCTACATTCACAAAGTTTGGAGTACGTACGTTGGAGTCTGTGTGGGAGCTGCGCTGTGCTATCTTGCTCCACCCTCATCCTCCATCTCCATCTCTATCCCAGGCGAAGCACCTCACCCGGTGGGTCCGCCACACTGTGTGGCCACGCAGGGCAGCAAATGTACTCTTGAAAATGAGTTTTCCAGAGTGATGTGGCGAGGTCCTAAGCTGGTTGATCCATGTCTTGTCTTGTCACAAATTTAGATTCAATTTGCTCTTACTGCTTCGTTCCTACTTCTGGTTACTACCTACACCCTACTACATACCTATCAGATTCTACGATACTCTCCCTACTATCACACTAAGGGCATACTCACTCGGGGACCAAAAGTCGAAAAACTTTGAGGCATTTGGTTCGCTTTTTTTTAGGCATTTGGTCCCCGTGTGGTCACATGGGCGGACCTCATCCAGAAAAGACGAAGTCACGACCCTGACACTTTGCACTCAGGGCAAGTGCGCCGGTCACACGGGGGAGGACCAAACAAAAAGATGAAATTTGTTTTTTTTTTTCTCTCACGGCAGTATAATGCGTGGGCCTTGGCTACAATGTAAATGTTTATGGTCGCACTTTCAGTTGTTTGACAGGGGTCCTCTTCGTCTGCGATTTTCTTCAATTCGCAAACATAAAAAAAAAAAAAAAAGTGATTTGAGACCACCTCTGGAGGTGGTCTCAAAAAGGGTCCTCCCGCGGCCCCGCAGGCCGCTGACAAAAGGGTTAACGTTTGAGGCATTTGGGTAGCGGCCCTCTCCAGTGTGACCCAAATTTTGGGATTTAGGGTCTTTTGATCCTCGTGTGAGTATGCCCTAAGTCTTCTTCTTTTACTTCGGAATCTACTACTTCTACTACTTCACAGGCGTACTGTAGGGCTGCTTGACACCGGTCTTGGCACCAGTTGGAACCAGGTCCTGCGTTCCGGGTAAGTTTCAATCTGCAATCTGCAGACCGGCCTGTCCGTTGTTTTTCCTTTATAGGGTCTCGCTGCACTACTCTTTCACTCTCCGAAATCGGAGAGTTTTTCACCGCTGCACTAAGTTATAAGTTAAAGGGCATACTCACACTGGGACCTATAATCCCGAATTCCCCAAAAGAAAGCGTAGAGGGCCGGTCCCACAGATTTGCCAAACCAAATATGAGGTGTACTATGTGTGAGCCCATTTGTAAGCCGCAGGGCAAGGGAATTTGCGGTCCTCTTTAGGCGACCGCAAATGCCCTATTTATTTTTTTCGCATTTTCTTTAAAAATTGGAGAGAATTCTTTCACAACTTGTGTGAATTTGTTCACAAAAGTTCTTGCACAATTTGCGGATGGCCCCGGGTGACCGGCAAAGTACCAAGGGCCTCCTTCTACACCACTGGACTTTGCTGTTTTTCAAGGAAGCGTCGTTCTACCCTGCCCCAATGACGTATCCTTCAAATCGGTAATTGTTTTCACATCCCCGCGGCCAAGTGTGTGTCCCAGCAAAATCAACCAAAATCCCAAAATCGGTAATTGTTTCCACATCCCCGCAGCCAAGTGTGCGTCCCAGCCAAATCAACAAAAATCCCAAGGGTGCCTCGAGAGGCCACTTTATCTTTTTCTTTTTTTCTATTTTCCACCAATCACCACTGTTCCTGCCGCAATGTCGTCAGCAGTTCAGTTTCAAGGACGGTCGTCTCAAGGGTTTTGTCAAGGTGTTGTCTGGTGCCCTTGAAACTCAAGTATTTTCAAGTAGTGTCGAACGAGGCCTCAAATACCCATTTCTCCAGACTGCCGCGACCTTGTCCCATCCGAAAAGGTACAGCAGTCCGACCCGAAGCATGTTGGCTCTTCCGAAAGTTTGCGGATTTGGGGTCGCAGTGTGAGTATGCCCTAACTATCCGAAAAAAACCCTTGACACCGACCTCGGATAACTATCAGAAACCACCATCAATCAAGGCCTCGCCACACCACTCTTGAAACGGGGAAATATGTCAAGAGTTGTCAGACCTTCTCAAGAGTAGGGTTTTCAAGAGTTTCCGGCCCCTCGCCACACAACACTCCCGAAAGGGCCATGCCATTGGACACAGGATGAAAAACGACAGTCATACAACTTTGTTTTTTTCGTATGGCGTCAGGATAACGGCCTGACAACTCTTGAAAATAGATACAGTAACTCCCTCAAGGGTTCGGCCAAGGACGCTTGAAATTGCCACCAGTTGCAGGCAGGCTGGGGTTTCCAATCTTTCAAGAGCAGCCGCTCTTGAAAGGGTTTCAAGAGGCTGCCACTCTGACAACTCTTAATTGCCTCAAGTTTCAAGAGAGGCTGTGTGGCGATGCAGCAACTGTACTCTTGAAAAAGAGTTTTCAAGGGCCTCGCTGCACTACTCTCGACATGTGCAAAAGACAAAAATATTGTCGGTGTATCTTTCCATATTCTAGCGGAAGATTCACTCTCGTTTTGCACATTTCGAGAGTAGTGCAGCGAGGCCCCAAAAGTGGTGTGGCGAGGCCCTCATGTGGTCGGAGAGTGCCCATACTTACCCGCAAAATACTTACCCGTTTCTCTGGTTGTCTTCTCACTTGTACTTCCCCTTTTTTCCTAATCGTTTCTTTGGTTGTTTTCTCACTTGTACCTCCCCCTTTGTCCTTTTTTTTTTTTTTTTTTTTTTTTTAATAAACTCATTCTCAATCAATGTAAAAGAGGCCGGGAACCTCCCAATTCAACCCGGAGTTATCCCGGCAGCGTCAGCCGGTTTAGCTCAATCGAACTCATCTAATCAGTCTTCGTTGCACCAACCCAAATTTGCAAGTGTCATATGAAACTCAATTGACTAAACGCT